ACCGTTGAAAACCATTTGAAATTTGTGTCAGCACGTCATAAATAGAACCCGGCAGCAGTTTTCTGTCGGGGATTTGTCGTGTCACGCTGCATCCAGTGTAGACCATAGATATGTATATATATCTATGGTGTAGACAGTATCACTGATTATAATGAGTTCCATAGTATTTTGTCGCGCCGTGCCACTTGCGTCTGGTGTAGACACGGTGTAACATTGGTTTTGCTTTGTTTCACAGAACTAATCGTTGCCTGGGTTGCGTACATATGTGTGGGGCGGAGCTATCAAAATATGGACGTGTTTGTTTTGGTGATTTCAAATGTCAACATTGGCTACCATAAATCGCTTACCCCACCTTTAATGATGTCTGATTCATAAACAAATCATTCCTTTGAATCTGTTTTTTTCAATGGCTCTGTTCATTAATGAATCTGACTGAATCGTCCGAGCAGTTCCTGAATCAACTCGCTGACTAATTGAACTTATGTAGACTCAAATTTGACCTGCAGTGATCTGTCTTTACAACTCTCCAACTCACTGAACCTTGAACCATGTTTGTTAGACTTGTCTGACTTGCAAGTGATTCATTTAATTTTAGAGTTCCCTTACTCATTACAGACAACTGATTCTTTCAGATGTATCCAACTCTGAATGATCTGGTTTGACAGCTCACTGACTCTGTCGAGCCATTGTCGTGTTGTAACCCCTAACAGAATCCTGTTGGAGCCCAGAGTGATTCTATTGGCTGAAAGAACTTGTACAACAGTCAGGTTCCACAAGATCCCATTCATTTTCTTCTGAAACAATTGGATTTTTAACTATAACATTTAAACCTTTAAAAGCAGATCTATTGTGAGTTACAAGCCGCCACATGGAGTCGTACAGGGGGATAGAATCTCACATGATACAGTCTCTTTTGCACACATATGATTCGTAATGAACCAAGTATTGATGTGTGTGTTGATGCTAAGAACATTTGGAGTGAACTGAGTGTTTGACTGACTGGGTGAAAAGTAAATTAGCCAACAGCAGAAATTGAATAAAACATGGGCTACTAGAAATATGTTAACAACCTGATTGTTAGACTATTTTATCAATGCTTGCTTATACAAAGTAGTTGTTGGTTTTAATAGCATTTTAAAAGACTTTAACCAGGAAATGTATTTTAGTTTTAGTTTAATGTAAATGCAAATTAGATTTAGGCGCTACCAAACAGCTTTTTTATGAGCTGATTCATGGCTCCAACAAATTGATACAAAATTAGAATAAACTGCCTTTAAGTAATTACGAAAATATGCTTCAGGACTTTATAGGAATGTTGTGGAGATGCTGGGATGTCAGTAACCATGTGATGATGTAAAAAAACTGCT